CCTGGGAGCGAAGGCCACCATTTTGAGATCTTCCTTCCGAGGATTGTCTGTCTGCAGCACACGCAGGAGGCCTCGCTTCTTCTCTCGAAGTCGCTCACACCAGGTCGCCCACAGCTCCTCCCACAGCTCGTAGACGAACTTGGGCGGGAAAGCGTGGTCGTCCTTCTCGCACTCCCGCGCGAGGGTCTCCAAGCAATCCAAACGCTCTTTGACATGCTCTCGTCCGAAGACGAGCCCAAAGAACCTGGTCATGTTCTGGGCCTGCCTGGTCGAAGACCACAGGGGCCCTGGGCCTAGGTTCCAGCTTCGCGTCGTGCGGCGCGCTGTACTTGTCGAACGCGACCGTCTTGCACGTCGGGAAGTCCGCCACGGAGGCCGACCACGGGGCCAGGTTGTCTAAGCTGCTGCCGCCGAAGCTGAGCGAGGCGCATGCCATCGCGATCCGGTTGGACACTGTCGTGGGCGTCTCGACGGCGAGCATCAGGGCCTTGTTCTGTTCGCAGGTCCGGCGCAGAGCGTAGAACAGCTCGCGTCCGAGGACCTCGTCGCAGACCTCCACGGTCAGCTGGCCACAACCGCGCGCCAGGTAGACGTCCAACTCCTCGGCTCTCCCCAGCGCTGCCACTGTCCCTCGCTGGGCTGCCTTGTCACCCTGCCGGGCACTGGCAACCCCCTCCAAGGCGTGGAGCATCCTCGCGGTGTTCGCGTCCAGGGTTGCTCCGGGCTGCGCGAGGCTGAACGGGTCGGCGCCCCCGCCTTTCTCCGGGGCTCCAGCGGCGTAGCGCGCTGGCGCTGTGGTCAGACCTGGGGGTAGGCCCAAGTCGCTGATGTGCTGGTCGTAGCGGAACAGGGCCCCGATGTTCGGAGCTTGTGGGCGGACGACCCGGGCCAACCCAGCTCTGTGGTGGCTGGGAGGCCGGCGTCCCGTGGCCCGAGAGTGAGAGCTGGCGGGGCGGCAGCTGGCGAGAGGGGCGGACGCGCTTCGAACAGGGGCGCGCTGTCGGCCTGGGTGGCCAGCGGCCCCTGCGAGCGGTGGCGCTCGGGCGGGAGCTTGAGGAGACCCTGAAGGCTACTGGGCGCCGCCTCTGGGGTCTGCGGTCGCGAGGGCACCTGCTGGATAACTCCCAATTGCCGATGTGCCCATCGAGCCGCGCGAGCTCCTCTGGCTCGGTCGTCTGCTGCTTGAGGTACTGGGCGTAGCGGATGAGGCTGGCGAGCACCTGCTGGGCTTCTTCGTCGAAGCCGGCGGCCACGCTCTGCACCGCCGCTCGACCCGCGGGCCTTCTCCTCCAAGTAGCAGGCCATCATGTCCCCGCCCTCGTCTCCTTGATGGCTCTCTCTCCTGATGCGGGTGCTTCGGAGCTCGCTGCCCGCCCGCCCTCGGCTGACGGGGGGCGAGAGCCACGACGCGTGGACCCAGAGGGTGGCCTGGGTGAGCTGCTGCGATCGAGCCGCTGCCAGTGGCTGCGCAGCTTGGCGTCTGCTTCTGTCGCTCGCGCTTCGAAGCTCGGGCTGGGCGCCACACCTCCCTCGGGGTGCCACCTGACTAGGGTGACCACACCACCTTCTCACAGAGCAGCCGCCAGCGAGCCTCGCTGAGCGGCCCAGCCCGCCCGCCTACGGGGAGACCGTGCCACGCCGCCAGCTTGTGCCAGACTTTCTCGGGTACGTTGGTCGCCGAGACGCTGATGCCGAGCTCCTCACATCCCAAAGGCGCGTGGTGGAGCATCTCCTCGATGAACCCCGCTGGCAGACGCCCGGAAGGTCCCGGGGACGGTGCACGGATGACGCCGTCAGGCTTCACGAGAAAGCGGATGGTGGTGCCGGTCGGGTCTTCCACCTCGAGGGCCAACGCACCGTCGAGGTATTCAGCCACTGCGCTGGCCGCGGCGGCATCAGCCGCTCTTCCTCTGAAAATCATCCACTGCGCTCCCTCTGGCCAATGTACCTTCGCCCGTGCGATGAAGTGTCGCCCGAGGGGCATAGGTGGCGGAGTAGGTGGCTTGGGGAACTCTGGAACCGGCGGCGCTTCGAAGCGCGCGCTCGGCGGCCCAGCCGGCGCCGGGACGGGGTCGCCAGGGCTGGTGGGCGCCTCTGGAGCAGAGGTCTTCGGGGCGGAGCGCTCTGGTGTGCGACTCCGGGCTGGAGCGGCAGCCGCACGCTCTGGTGCGCGGCTCCGCGGAGCTGGGCTCCGCCGAGCACGGCGCCGCAGCCCCGCGAAGAACCCGACTCCCGCGGGGTTGTCGTGGAGAGCCCGAGCGGCATCGCCCCCAAGGTGCTGCAGGCAGAGTGGGGCCCCTGAAGCCATGCCCACCGCCTCGCGGAAGCACGTCACCTGAGAGCACTTCTCGCCGTAGCGCAGGACCATGTAGATCTGCCTGTGATGCTCGCAAAGGCAGGCCGTCGCACTCCCTTCGCTCGGAAGTGGGAGATCCGAAGCCCGGCCATCCTCCACCAACAGCACGGTCGGATCGCCGCGCGCAGCGTCTTGACAGCCTTCGGGCGCTAGTGGGCGCATCTTGCCCTTGATCATGAGCCCCACCTTCACCGCCTCGCAGGGGTTGTCCTCGGCGTCTACCTCGGACAAGCAACCTTGCCACTGACCCCTGCACGCCGGGCTCCGCGTCGCCAGTCCTGTGACGGCGGCGTCGCCGGCGGCAGAGGCATGCCCCGCAACACGAGAGCCATGAGAGGACGTACAGCAGCAGCTTGTAGACGAGGCCCAGCCACCTCCAGAGCCAGACGAAAATTTGACAGGGTGTGAACCTCGAATAGTCGCCGAGATCCACGATGGCTTCGTTGTCAAGGGCGGCGTACTCCTTGCAATGCAGCTCGTTCTCGCGCCCCTTGCACCCGGTACATCTGGTGGAACGGCACAGGTGAAGCCAGCGTGGATCTCGCTGCTCCAGCTCGCACCTGAAACCCTTGTCGCTTGCGCCCTTCACAGAGTCATACTCAACCCACAATCCTTTGCGATTGATGCGCTCTGGGGACTTCATGTTGAGCTTGAGCCGTGCGACCCGGTAGTCGACCCTGATCATGAGGTCATTCTGGCCGCGCTTGGAGCCCCTGCCCTCCTTGATGCTCTTGCGGTACCAGTCGGTCGTCGGGTCGGCACCCACAGCTGGGCCGTGCCACACCGCATCGGTGAGGGGCGGCGCCGCCGGCGGGACCAGCTTGTCAAGCTTAGCCTCGCCAGGCGTCTTGCGCCTCGGGCAAGGACAGCACGCCAGCGCCAGGCCGCAGGTCCAGGCCGCCCAGCTGCAGGGCGCGAAGAGCGTCCTCAGGCTGTGGGCCAGGAGCGCGACCACGCCAGTGCCGGCGAGGACCGCCACGAGCCCGGCGATCAGCGGCCACGCGGAGCCGAACAGGTAGAGGCCCACCTGGTCGGCCATGTACAGCACCCAGCCGCCGTCGGAGCTCAGCCAGCCTCCTGCCTCGCGAGTCGAGAAGGCGGACCTGAAATCCCCACGGCCCGAATGGTACCTCCCCCCATCCCCTCGGCGAACCAATGTGTGCGGTTGCCGATGTCCCTCCAGCGGATGCCGAAGAGACCCCAACCCCTGATCCAGGACGACGGGTCCGAGTCGAGGGGGTCGGGGGGAGTGCGGGTTGGGCCTCGGGGAGGTGGGTCGGCCGGCGGCGCGGAGCGCTCGCGCGGCGGACCTCCTCCGGCACCCCCCGCGGGAGCTGCATGCTCGCCGGCTGGGTGCGCTCCGATCGGCGGCGGGTCCACGGAGGTGGGGGCGAGCGTGCCGTCGAGCCAGAACGCCCGCATGTCCACGTCCGACATGTCGTCGTAGTGCGCGGACTCGGCCCCGTGGTCGGCGTTGACGGCCTCGGCCGCCACCACGAGGAACATCAGCAGGGCTGTCGCTCGCCCGCAGCACCTGCCGGCTGGCGGCGGCGCCGGGGCCTTGGGGCAGCTCCTCCAGGCGGGCCCCGGCGCGCGCGCGCGCTCTGCCGCCCTCGCCTGGCACCGTGCCGGCGCCGGCGCGAGCTCGCGCCTGGTCGCTGGCCTGGCGGGGGGGCTCGGCGGCTTCGCCTCAGCGGATGCCGCCTCGACTCCTGGTGCTCCGCGGCTGGCGTGAGCCGGCGCCGCTCGGCGCCCAGGCCCCCCGCCGCTGCGCAGCTGCGCGCCCGCGGGCGGCATCGCTGCCGCCCCCCAGCCGCGCGGCGCCAGGCGCGGCATCATGCGGCCGCGGGCGCCCCTTGCCAGGCCTGGACCCAGGACCTGGAAGTCTTCTGGCCCTCTCGGGCCCGGCCTTAGGCCAACTGAGGCCGACCCCCAGCTTGGCCTCAAAAGGCTTGAGCCGCCGAATGGCGGTGGTAAAGGAGGGGGGAGAGGGCAAGCAAGAGGCAAGGGCAGGAGCGAGGGGACCAAGGGAGAAGCCCGCGCCAGTCCTGGAAAACGGTGAGATCCATCAGTTTTACCAAACATCCTAGTCGTGGCCTTCTTGGGGGCCTCCTGCGTTCGCCTCGGCCCCCCCTGAGGCCTCTCGGGGCTCCCCAGGGGCCCGGGGGGAGTTGGGGGGGCGAGGAGGTGTGGGAGGAGAGCTACTGCGACCTCGGCTTCGTCCCTCGTCGGGGCCGCGGGACCCTCGTTGATCCAGTTGGTTGCATTCGGCTGCGACGTCGGTCAAAGGCCCCCCTTCTGCCCCTCCCCCCCACTCCTCCCCCTCCCCCCCTCCTCCCCCTCCTCCTCAGGGAGTCGGTCGAGCCAGAATTGGAGCTTGCACTTGCCCCCTCGCCTCGCCCCTTCCGCCCCCGGCCATAAGGGGAGCCAGGGGCACCGCATCTCCGACGACTCCCTGGGGCTCGCGGCGGATTCCGTCCAGGATCCCCTCTGCCTTGAGGCCGAGGAGGAAGAGACCTCGGCCAAGCCCTTCGAGCGGCCGCCCAGCTACAAGGAGCCCATCTTCCGCTCAATCACCAAATTGTTCAATCAGTTGGCGCCGACGCACATTTTTGCTTTCCACGACTTCCTCAAACGCGGCGGCATGGGCACCGTCGGCACGCTATGCTCTGGCAGCGACTGCATCATGGTCTTCTTCGAGAACCTGGCCGAGTTTGCCAAGTCCCAGTACGGCGTGGGGCTACCAGTTAAGCAGCGCTTCGCCTGCGAGAGTGACGACGACAAGATGAGCTTCATACTTCAGTTTCATTCCCCCGAATTCGTTTTCGGAAATACATGTGGCATGGCCGAGCAGTACAGCAAGGACCTCAAGGCGGGGAGCATCGTAGTCACGCCAGGCGCAGATATCGTGTTGGATGGATTCCAGTGCAAGAGTCGTTCACCATGAAACGTCAAGGCCAAGGAGTTCGTCGGCTGCGTGGCGGACAAGACGGGCAAGACTGGCGAGAGCTTTTCAGAAGGGTACGAGCACGTGAAGAAGTACAAGCCGAAGATGGTTTTCCTGGAGAACGTTGCCCCACTGATGGAGACGCCGAAAGGCGGCGGCCAGAGCGACGCTGCGTACATCGCGACGCAGATGATGGAGGCGGGGTATGTCGGGAAGTGGTTCGAGGTCCAGGCCGCAGGCTACGGAAGTTTCGCTTGCCGCAAACGTTTATACTACGTGGGTTTCTTGGATGGCCCAGATTGGGGCAAGCAAGCCTCGGAGTTCCGCTTGAGGCAGATGGGCGAGATGCTGACGTTAATGAAGGTATCTGAGGGATGCGTCGAACCGAGCGACTTCCTCTTGAGCGACGCTGACCTCGCAGCGCGGCCGGCAGCCGCCGAGCGCGGGGTCTTTCGCCCCGGCCAGGCGGCGGAGAAGCCGCAGAAGGGCGCCAAGGCCTCCAGCAAGCCCGAGAAGATTCCTGCGTCCTTTGACTTGCACAACGAGTACTACAAGGAGAAGTTCATCAGCTGGCCGCCGGTGAAGTGCACGTGCTTCGACGGTATCTTCGACCACTTGACCGATCGCGAGTGCCAGCTCTTGTATTTCATCAGCAACGTCTTCCAGAACAGCAGCGACTCCGAGGGGTCCAGGATCGCTTTCGCGGACCTCAATTTGTCCATGAAGTTCATGTGCCCAAAGGACTTCCGGGGCTCCCCTCCTCCCCTCCCCTCCTAGAGATGATCGGGCGACATTTTCCTCGGGCGCTCTGGGGCCCTCGTGGGCATCTCTCTCGGGCCCCTCAGGGGGCTCTGGAGAGGTTTATCGATCTCGCTCTTGCCCTCGCCTTCCCCCGTGTGCTTCGGCGGGGGTTGATTTGGCATTCAGGCTACGGTAGGTTCGTGTCGTGTCGACCGGCGGCGACCCCGCCAGCGGCGTTCAAGGTTGAACGCCGCGGGCGACCCAGAATCGGTCGATGTTGAACGATCGGACGTTGCGGCAGCGGCCGATCGTTCAAGGTTGAACGATCCAGCGCGGTGTCAGAAACCAACGCCGGGGTCGACACGACGCGAACCTGCCGTAGTCAGTATCGGACGCCCGCAGAGGACAAGACCGGGGAGATTCGCAACAGCCCATGGAAGCCATGCCCTTCGACGTTCGTTGGATCCATGAAGGTCGTCATGCGGTATTTGCCTGAAGGCATCGAGATCGACGACTCGCCGTGCGCCGCGCCCGCGTGGGAGCAGTGGAAGTACCGCCTACTCACTGGCGTCGAGTACATGGCTATTGTAGGTTGGTGCTACAAGCGCTGGGGCGAGAAGCCGCCGGACAGCGCGCTCCTGACCGACCTGGCCGGCAACGCCTTCTCGCTGTTCGCCGCGGGCCCGATCGTCATCTCGGCTTTCGCGGCGTCGGTCATGCCCCCCCCGCCCGTGATCGACGCCGACGCCGCGTCCGCCGCCGAGGGGCTCGCCGCGGTGATCGACGATTCGCTCGCCGATTAGCCGGCGGCCCTGGGCTTCATTTCCAGGGCACCCGTCGAGGGGGTTGTCGGGGCGGCTGCCTCGGGAGCGGATAGACACTTCGCTCGCAGTTGCAGGGGCTCGAGTTGAGCAAAAGCATTAGAACAAGTAAGGTTTCCTTCATGCCCCATGCCTCCGTTTTGCCCCCCCCCCCCCCCCGCATCATCCCCTCCCAGAGTATTGCCGGGGCTAAGCAAAATTTTACGGCTAGGCTGCGCCTGAGGCGGTGCTCAAGGTATTGCAACATCGAGGGCGATCAACAATGGGCCATGGCACGGCCAGGCGCCCTTGCATCCGCGCCTTTCGCGCAGTGGCGAGCTGCCTTGCAGGGGCCAGCATCCTGCCCCAACTTGTAGCTCTTAGGGCCGCCCCCCCCAGGGCCCACAGTCCGACTGCAATCGGCATGCGGCATGAGGCATGAATCGGACCGAAACAGACTCGCGCGGGCCGGGGCCCTAAGGTAATGCAGCGTAGTAATGCACGTCATGCATGTCGCACTTCAGCGGCCGGGGCCGGAGAGCTGCCCTCGTCCAGGGCGCCCGCGAGGGTGCGAAGGCAACCGTGCTTCGCGGGGTGCGACGCGCGAAGCCTGGCGACTTGCAGTCAACGCGCCTAGTAAGGATGGGCAACCTTCCTAGGGGTACTCTTGCATCCCTGCCTCCTCGGCCCGTCCTTGACCGTTTTCCGCGGGCCAGCCTCTCGGGGCGCCTTTCGCCCAAGGGCCTTGCATCCTCACTATCCATCCTTAATGCTTAATGCACGTTTTGACTGTAGGTCGTCGTTGCCAGTTGCCCGTGTGGTTCGAACTTGGACCCAGGGAAAGTTGAATCACTGACTTACCGACTGACACAGCCAGGCCGACGGTCGCTCCCAGTGCCGCACGCGCGGGCCGCCATGGCGACGATGCCCGCCCCGCTTTGTTCGTCGGCCCCCGCCCTGGATTCCCTCTGCGACGAGTCCGACGCCAGCGGCGGTTCCCCAGCGAAGAAGGCGCTCCGGACAGGGCCGTCGCGCGAGGAGCTCCTGGAGCGCTGCAGACGGCGTCGGTTCGCGAAGCGAGACCTGCGGCGCGGCGTCTCCAGCTCCGACAGTGACGAGGCGGACCAGGCGAAGAAAGCCAAGAAAAGGAGCCGCAAGGACAGGATGTGCACAGATATTGTAGTTCCCGACGGCCGCTCTTGCAAGCTTTGCCGTTGCAAAGACACCGACGATGATGAGGCAGACCCGATGATAAAGATGCGCTGGGGGAAGCCACCAAAAGAGGGTCGCAACATGGGCTTGATATGCCTGTACTGCTACAAGACGTTCAACGGCCGGTGCAGGGTCACGTACACCAGCGTTGAGAAGATGCTCGTTGCGTGGGGCGTCGACAACTCGATGGTCAAGGACTTCAAGGGACTTCGTTCAAACGTCGTAGAGACGATCAAGCTTAACGGAGGGGATGTCACCATGACGATCAAGTGGGATGATGTGGATAAGCGGAAGGTGAAGCACCACCAGGAGAAATCGCCCAGCTGATTCACCCCGAGGACAAAGTGATGTTCTACGAAGATTATGTCAAGGAGCACGGGGACCCCCTAACCAATAGCCTCGGCCACGAAAGGAAACTGATCGAAGGCTTCGACGTCGTGGTCATCCCAGGCCCTCGCGTCTTCCGCCTGCGCAATATGAGCCAGATGAGGGCCGACCACGAGCGCGCCGTCGACGACGGGAGAGCGGAAACTGGCGAAGGCCAAAGCATTTCGAACTTCCAGCAGCTCTCCATGCAGATCGCGCTTCCTGAGGCGAAGGGGGTGTCCATGGCCGACACATTCAAGAAGAAGCCCGCCGAGGCCCCCGCTCAGCCGTCGTCGTCGAGTGGCGGCGCGGCGACGCAGTCGACGCAGCCCGATGAGACGAAAGGAGAGTTCAGCCACACCGGCTTTGGCTTCTGTTTCGGACAGCCAGTCGCGCCGACAGCCCCGTTAAGGCAGGGCGCCGGCAACGCGGACAGCCGTGGCCAAGGCCAAGGTGAAGGCGAGGTCGCCGCGGAGGGCGACGCAGGGGCCAGAAAACAAACAAGAAAGCCACGCAAGGGTAAGGAGGAGAAGGCCACTGTCGAAGCCGCGCTCCCGCCTGGGCCGCCTGGGCCAGGCCCTGCGCAGGCTGCGCCCAAGAGAGTCGGCCGACCGAAGCGAAATTTGATTGAGGTAGCTAACAAGTTCTTGGTCGAGTTCGACAGTTGCCAGCCAGGGTGCTCGCGCTTCCAGGGGAAGGAGGCCGCCGCGCACAAGAAGTGGGTCGAGACCTTGAAGTCCGATTTTGACGAGGCTCATGCGAGCAATAAGTACTCCGACGCCGACAGGATCAAGTTCCAGTTGTTCTCAAAGCAGATTCACGTCATCGGGGAAGCGATGAAGGCGTGCCGGGGCAGCGGGGTCAAGTCCGCTGCGTTTGCCACCGCGTACGACGAGGGCGTCCAGTTCTTGACCCTTGCTCCGACGGCCACAAACCCGCTTCCCCAGTGGATGAGACAGGGTCGTTGCGAACTGCGGACGTCGCAGTGCGGGAACGTCGACGAGTTCATCGCCCTCGCCGGCGAGTCAGAGCTGTTCTTCCACTGCGGCATCATGTCCGACGCGGACGCATCGAAGGCGCAGCAGATGATGCTCCGCGACTGCGTCATCTCGAAGCTCCAGGCCGCAGCCGGAGGGGGGATCAAGGCTTTCTTTCAAGGCACTCAGTCTTCGTGTGTGCGCGAGAAGCTCAAGACTCTCAAGACCGATGCATCCGATGACCTGTTGGCAATCCGAGGGATCACTCTGAGCACAGAGGGAATGAACTCCGCGGAGATCGAGAGCTGGCTGGCCCGCCTCCAGATCACGAACAGCGCGACGCAGGCTCTGTTGACGCATCCGACTGGTCGAGACTTAGTGACGCAGGCTACGGTGCGCAAGAACATGCTGGAGAGGATTGAGAAGGACGAGGGGCAGATGAAACAAGCCGCGGGCGCCGTCTCCATCAAGTACGGCACGTGTGTAAAGCAAGACAGACAAGGTACCATGACGATGGAACACGTGCAGGCACTTGCCGCGGCCGTCGACGTTGCGGTGAACGGCCCGAGCCGCGCCGGGCACGACACCGAGGTCTTCGAGAGCACCTTGGGTGAAGACAGGTTGACTCACATGGCCGACAGGGGTCGCGAGGTCCTGATCATCGCGAAGAAGGCATTCACGCTCTGCGGCGTCTGGGAGTGCAAGCAGTTGCAGGACTACGAGGCGAAGGCCAGCGATTCCAAGATCGTGATCGACTTCGTCGGCCACTTGCTGCAGGCGAAGGGCGCCTTCCAGAGGAAGTACGACTCCTGCGTTCGGGAGGCGCTGGGTTGCATGCGCACTATTCTGACCGAGACGGCGAAGTTCTTTGCCGAGGGGGCGGTGGGCGATGCCGAGGCTGGCCGCATGGTGCACATTGCCAACGCTATGAAGTACTCACTCACCTGCATCAGCAGGTTGGAGGCGTGTTCGCCGGAACACATCGCGCTTCAGGACGAGTGGTTGAAGATCTTCGCCGCCGGGCAGATCGCCTCCAAGCGCATGGACAGCTTCGGCCAGCAGGCCGCCGAGATCGCGACGGCCTTGAAGGCCGTGATGTCTCCGATCCACAACTTGGTCGACTTCCTGGGCGACGAGGCGCAGCGCGATGCATTCTCGAGGGCTGTCGTCGACGACGGCAAGAAGCTGATCCTCAAGCAGTTCGCCCAGAAGATCCGGAACGAGAGGGCGAGGAGCCAGGTGGACATCGCACTTGCCTCGCAGGCGTGCGTCGCCGCGCCGGTCAAATGCCACGGTTGGTGGGGCAAGTTCGATCTAAGTGAGTTGAACATCCCCGATAAGGAGGGCCAGGCCGTTCGCGCAGTCGCGGACATCCAGATGGCCGCGACCATCTTGTCGGAGGCGGTCTCTGCGTACCAGGACGCGAAGAAGAGCACCGTGCCCGAGCTGTTCGCCCCGCTGGCGCCTCGCGACCGCCTGCTAGTGGAGTGCCCGCCTCCGCCTCCTCCGCCGCCACCTCCGCCTCCGCCCGCCTCCACCTCGACCACCGCCCTGCCTCGAACTCTCACCCCCACCGCCGCCCCGCCTCCGCCTCTGCCGCTCCCCGCCGCCTCTGCCACTTTTGCCTCCTCATCCTCCGCCTCCACCGCCGCCGCTGCCTGCACCTCCGACCTCCGCCAGGTACTTCAACCTCGAAGGCGTCATCGACCTCGCTGTTTTCCCTGCCGGCGCCATCAACTGTTGCATCGAATTGTTCACGCTTCGCGACTCCTCGCCATCCGGATGGGAGGGCGAGCAGAAGGGCCAGAGGCCACTTGGGTGCCTCTCGGAGTCTCTGGGGATGTCTTTTGGGAGCCTCTTGGAGGCTTCTTGGGGCGCCTTGGGGGCCCCTTGGCGGTCCCAGGGGCTTCTTGGAGCGTCTCGGGTGCCTCGGGGGAGCTTCTTGGGGCATCTTGGGGGCATATTGGGGGCCTATCGGAGGCCTTTTGGAGCCTCCTGGGCGCTTCCCGGGGCCATCTTGGAGGCCATTTGGGGCCCTCTTGGGCCACTCTTGGGGCATTCTTGGGCCATCTGGGAGCCATCTTGAGGCTTCAGACGACAGGACGCAGCAGCCGACGACGACGCCCAGTCCAACCCTGCTCGCACCGACGATGACACCAGCGACAGCACGACCGACGGAAGAAGGGAATTCGAGTTCGACGACGTCGAAGACGATACAGGATTCGAACCATGGGAGGAGTTCATTCGCAGAGCCACACATGTGGCTACAGATCTCGCTGCCCGCTCCCACGTGGACGAGTGGACAACAGTATACTACAGACGAACATGGCGGTGGGCAAAGCGAGTGGCAACACACTCGAACCTTAGATGGACAAGGCTTGCGGCAGCATGGGAGCCGGAAGTCCACGACAATCGAATAGCACAGCGCAGACATGGACGACAACGCAA